CCCCCCCCACCCCCCCACCCCCCCCACCCCACCCCCGCCCCACAGCCCGCCCACCCTCTCCATCCCCCCAACCCCCCCCACCCCCCTCCCAAGCGGAAAACCATTGCCAACCACGAATGACACAATGGCCACGTTCCCCCCCCTCAACCCCTCTGAAGCGCCTCTTCTGGCCCAGACCCCCATTCTGGGCTTGAAAACCTGGGTCGGGCCAGATGAAGGCTTTGCGGGGTGAGAGCCAAAAAGAGCCACGGTCACCGGGGAACTTTCAGACACAGGCGGTCACCGGGGCACTAATTCCAAAGCAACCATGTGGAAGCCAGGCAGCCAAAACAACCAGCGAGACGGCCAGCACGGTCACCGGGGAACTTTAGATCAGCGCCCCATCAAGCAAAGCAAAAATCCAGAATGTAAGCAATCAGCGCCCCAGCAAGCACGAACAAACCCAGTAAGTAAGCAAGCAGCACCCCGCCCCCACCCCGACAACAAAGAACGAATACGGGTAGTTGGTTCTAGGGTGGGTTGGGGATTGGCTCGAACTGGAATGGTTCGAGGGTGGGGTGGGGGAAAACAAAACATGAGGTTAACAAAATTAGGTTTTTTTTGTCAATCCGGACCAACACTTTTGGTTCTACCTTCGGTCTGGGGAAAGCAAGCGCGAAGACAAGGGACATGCGACAAAGCCGACGAGCACGAAGGGAGGGGACATACGACAAACCCTAAGAGCGCGAAGGGAAGGGACCTGCGACGAATCTGCAGACCTTTCATCAAACCATACGAGCACGAAGGGAGGGGACATACGACAAACCCTACGAGCACGAAGGGAGGCATACGACAAACCCTAAGAGCACGAAGGAAGAGGGCGTACGACAAACCTGTAGACCTCTCGACAAACCCTACGAGCACGAAGGGAGGGGACATACGACAAACCTCTAAAATAAACCCGTACATTTCTCAATGTTTTGGGATTCTCTGCAAGCAGAAGAAAAGGGACATACGACAAAGCCGACGAGCACGAAGGGAGGGGACATACGACAAACCTCTGAAAATAAAACCTCAGTTTCTTAATTCTTGGCATTCTCTGCAAGCAGACAAAGAGGGACATACGACAAAGCCGACGAGCACGAAGGGAGGCGACATATGACAAAATCTAAGAGCACGAAGGGAGGGGACGTACGACAAACCTGTAGACCTCTCATCAAACCCTACGAGCATGAAGGGAGGGACATACGACAAACCCTACGAGCACGAAGAGAGGGGACATACGACAAACCTCTAGGCCTCTCATCAAACCCTACGAGCAGGAGCCAACATGACCCCTATTCTGGGCTTGAAAACCTGGGTCTGGGCCAGATCAAGATGAAGGCTTTGCGGGGCCGGGCAACGCAGCAGCCCCTTCTCAGTGTTTCTCATCTTGGGTGGTCCGAGGGTGGAGTGGGGAAAAGCAACTGCACGAAGGGAGAGGACATACGACAAACCTCTAAAATAAACCCGCACATTTCTCAATGTTTTGGGATTCTCTGCAAGCAGAAGAAAAGGGACATACGACAACACCCCCCCCACCCCCCCCCCGCCCCCCCCCCCCCCCCCCACCCCCACCCCCCCACCCTCCCCCACCCCCCACCCCCCCACCCCACCACCCCACCCCCCCCACCCCCCCCACCCCCCCACCCCCCAACCCCCCCCCCCCAACCCCCCCCCCTCCCCCCCCCCTCGACACCCCCCATTCCCTCTTCTGGCCCAGACCCCCATTCTGGGCTTGAAAACCTGGGTCTGGGCCAGATCCAGATCAAGATGAAGGCTTTGCAGGGCCGGGCAACGCGGCAGCCCCTTCTCAGTGTTTCTCATCTTGGGTGGTCCGAGGGTGGGGTGGGGAAAAGCAACTTCCGGACCCCCATTCTGGGGTTGGAGCACGAAGGGAGGGGACATACGACAAACCTCTAAAATAAACCCGTACATTTCTCAATGTTTTGGGATTCTCTGCAAGCAGAAGAAAAGGGACATACGACAAAGCCGACGAGCACGAAGGGAGGGGACATACGACAAACCTCTGAAAATAAAACCTCAGTTTCTTAATTCTTGGGATTCTCTGCATGCAGACAAAGAGGGACATACGACAAAGCCGACGAGCACGAAGGGAGGCGACATACGACAAAATCTAAGAGCACGAAGGGAGGGGACGTACGACAAACCTGTAGACCTCTCATCAAACCCTACGAGCATGAAGGGAGGGACATACGACAAACCCTACGAGCACGAAGAGAGGGGACATACGACAAACCTCTAGGCCTCTCATCAAACCCTACGAGCAGGAGCCAACATGAGGCGAGGTCACCGGGGCACTAACTGGAAAGCAACCATGTGGAAGCCAGGCAGCTTAAAGTGTGCCAAACACAACCAACAAGACGGCCAAAAATAGGCAGGGTCATCGGGGAAAACGAACACGAGCAAAGTGAATATGAGCAGAAAGAGAACGAATACGAGCAGACTGACGTCGAGCAGAGAGAGAACGAATACGAGCAGAATGAATACGAGCAGAAAGAGAATGAGTACGAGCAGACTCAGTACGAGCAGAAAGACAGCGAAAACGAGCGGACTGAAATCGAGCAGAGAGCGTGCAGAAAAAGCACGAATACGAGCAGAAAGAGAACGAACACGAGCAAAATGAATATGAGCAGAAAGAGAACGAATACGAGCAGAATGATTACGAGCAGAGAGAGAACGAAGACGAGCAGACTGAAATCGAGCAGAGAGAGAGAGCGAATACGAACAGAATGAATACGAGAAGAAAAACAACGAAAACGAGCGGACTGAAATCGAGCAGAGAGAGAACGAATACGAGCAGAATGAATACGAGCAGGAACGAGAACGAACAGATCAGAAAAAGAACGAATACGAGCAGAATGAATACGAGCAGAAAGAAACGCATACGAGCAGAATGGAAACCAAGCAGAATGACAAAAAACACGAGCAGAATGAATAAATGAGGTTGGAGGACAGGGCTTGCTGAGGAAAAATGTGAACTTTATATTTCTTAATGTTTTGGGATTCTCTGGGTGGGTGGGTTTTTTTCTAGAGTCCAGACAGCGGCTCTACTAGAGATTGCTCGACCCAGAGCTGCTGAACCCTAAACCCTAAACCCTAAACCCTAAACCCTAAACCCTAAACCCTAAACCCTAAACCCTAAACCCTAAACCCTAAACCCTAAACCCTAAACCCTACACTGGCCCTACGCCCTACTAAGGACATAGTAAGTTGTCGGCAGGAGCAGCTGCGAGATGGCTTCGGCAGGCTGTCCAAGGCCGGGCAGCTCAGGAATAGGGTCAGGCTCTCTTGAATAGGGGTTTAGGGTTTAGGGTTTAGGGTTTAGGCTGGCGAGTGTCTCTATGTCTGCCTGGGAGCATCTTGAGCGCAGAGGGTTTCGCGGTTCCGGCGCGGCCAATTGGTCGTTTCCAGGCTCTCCTGTACAGAGAGTTGGGCGCCTGAGCCTGGCTTGCTGAGAATACCACATACAGTCACGCAGACAGCTCAAGCAGCTTTTTGGAGCACTCTCGTATCACGTCCTCCCTTCTCGCCCCTCCGCGGCAAGCATGTGGCGGCTGTTGCCGATAGTTGCTGCCGCGTCTGCAGCAGGTGCAGATCACCGGTCTGTGACCGGCCAGCATGGCATGGTTGCCACATCACATCCCGAGGCCAGTGCAGCCGCGGCACGCATCCTGGAAAGGGGAGGCAACGCCATAGATGCAGCCCTTGCAGTGCACTTTGTGCTTGCAGTAGTGGAACCCCAGCATGTGTCCATTGGCGGGGGTGGCGTCATGCTCTACAAGCCTTTGGATGGGGAAGCTGTCCATGTGGACTTCAGAGAAGAGGCACCAGCTTTGTACCACCCAAAAACCTTTTGCAGGAATGCCACTTGCATTCTTGACCCACACTGTGAGTGCAATGGCACTTGGCCAAGCACCGAGCGTTGCACAGGAGGCCACGCCACTGGCACACCTGGGTTCCCAGCACTCTTGGCGCTCGCGGTGCGCGATCAGCTCACATCGCTGCCGCTCTCAGAGCTCGTGATCCCAGCGATAGAACTGGCTCGAAATGGCTGGAGTATGGACGACGGACTCTACAAGAGCATCCAGCAATATGCCCCGCAGTTGGCCCGAGACCCTGCCTCTCGAGCGCTCTTCTTAGATGCTAGTGGTACCAAGCCCAGAGCCGAGCCTGGTGAGCTGTTGAGCAACCCGGAGCTCGCTGATACCCTGGAGTTGCTGGTAGCTGCGCCCGACGACTTCTACACGGGCACGCTTGGCATGGAGTTTGTGAAGGCAGCACAAGGCGGCGTCAACAATGTGACCGGCAAGTATGGCTTGCTGTCAGCGGAGGACATGCACAGCTATCGCGCTGTGTATCGTGAGCCGGTGAAGTATGAGCACACCACTGCTTCGGGTCATACATACCTCATCACAGGTTCAGCACCACCCTTTAGCGGCGGAGTGGCGCAAGCTCAGATCTTCAACTACCTGGAGCAGGTGCAAGGGGCAGAAGCCACAAGTGCTCGTGACCTGGGCTTCTTCATGGATGCGCAGAACGTAGCGTTTGCCGATCGCAACCAGTACGTGGCCGACCCCGACTTTGTGGACGTTGACGTGAAGACCCTGACGTCGAAGAGCTATGCGGCCCAGCGTGCGGAGGAGCTTCTGGGCAGTGCTGGTAACTCGCAGCAGGCACTCCGCAGCAACGAGGTGAGAGCGTTGACCGTGCCCGTGACCCCAGGCGTGCTGAGCTCCAAACGCGGCGCGTCTTCGGCGGAGGACCATGGCACCTCCCACATGACCATCATCGACTCTGAGGGCAACATTGTGGCCATGACCACGACGGTGAACATGATCATGGGCTCGCGGGTCACCGTGCCGGGGCGAGGTTATTTGCTCAACGACGAGATGTGCGACTTCGACTCCCTTGGCTTTGATTCTGCAGGACAGATGACAGTGAATGCAGCCGAGGGGGGCAAGCGCCCACGGCGCACAGCTCTTGGCTCTGACAGCAGCTCCTTGGGCGGCAAGAGGCCGCGGTCCTCAATGAGTCCGACCCTGGTGGTGCCCAAGGATCCAGGCCACGCTGCCTTTGCTGTGCTTGGCTTAGGGGCGCCTGGGGGCTCCGACATCATCGGTGGAGTAGCCAATGTCCTCCGGTACACTTTGACTGCACCCACCGTCGACGATGTCCGAGAGCTGCAGCAGCACACCAACACACCCCGTGCCATCGGCAAGAATGAGCAGCGGATGGGTAACGCGGTTGTGGAGCTGGCGCTCTTCGAGGACAAGGAAAAGGTCGCCTCCCTGCAGTCTTGGGGCTACAACCTTACGCATACGCCGTACTCGCCACCCTACTACGTGGGAGAGACGTACTCTCGGGTGCAATCAGCGATGATGTGGCGGGCTGACTCGTCTTCCCCTTGGGAGTTTGTGGGAGCAGCAGACACCATGCGCTTGCCTAGTTGTACAGCCCAGGCTCCGCACGGCCCCAGTGACTCTGTTCTGCTCCCCTAGCATGTATACACCTATTATGCAGCAGCTATGCATGTGACATAGTTTGCTTCGTTGCAAATTTACAAGTGAGACGTCGTTTTAAAGACGTCGAGCTTTCGTCGGGGCACTCTCACGAGGGTGCTTGTGTTCCGGCCTTACCAGCTGTGTCAAGTCACAGAAGCTGCTGTACACAGTCGGATCTTCACAGGATCGGCTCATGAAGAAAACCAAGCTCTCAGCCAAGCGCGGTGCTGCAGACCAATGAATAGCGAACTCTTGATTATCTTGATCCCCGATTGAAGCCCAAAACCCAAAACCCAAAAACCCTAAACCCTAAACCCTAAACCCTGGAAGCCCTGAAATGCAACCCACGAAGGCCCTGGACACCTTCGACGAGCTGCAGAAGCGCGAGTGTGGCCTCTGAGCTGGGGGCCAAGTGTGGGCGACAGCGACAATGAGACTCCAGGGAGCCAGCGGCCAAGGCTTAGTTGTTAGGGTTTAGGGTTTAGTGGTTAGGGTTTAGGGTTTAGGGTTTAGGGTTTGGGAGTTAGGGTTTAGGGTTTAGTGTTTGAGGCTCAGGGTTTTTGCAAGTGCTCAAGTAACGTCTCGCGCCGGCTGCGCAGGTTTTGTTTGCGGAGGCTCTCCACAGAAACCAAAGCCTGCGCGCCGGTTCTTGCGCGAGTTTGTGCGCAGCTTTCCTTTCGCTGAGCACCAGATCTTCTTCACGGCTTTGAGAGGGTTTGTGGGCTTCAGGGCTGGGGTTGACGGTTTAGGATTTAGGGTCTAGGGTTTAGGGTTTAGGGTTTAGGGTTTAGGGTTTCGGGTTTTTCGTTGTGCGATCTTTTGGGTTCATCCCACGACCCCGCTGTGGGTCTCTGTTAGCTGCATTCCTGCTGCGACTTGGGATGCTCCCCCTTGTGCTAACAGTCCTTGGTACGGATTATGATAGGGGGTACGATAATAATCCCTAACTAAGGACTGCTGGTATAAGGGGGAACATCCCAAGTTGCGACGATTATTATACATCGCAGTACTAGGATGGGGAGCTCTTCAGTTGGGCTCGTGTTCAGGAACTTGGGTTAGACTACGAGCCCGGGGGTTTTGCAGAGAATGACGATCGTCACCCTGAATCTGGTAGCATAGCTTTCTGTTCCTTCACGACAATCGAGAAAGTGCTCTTGCGTATCGGGTTTAGGGTTTGGGGTTTAGGGTTTGGACACCCTAAAACCTGAACTCTAAACCGGGGTTTAGAGTTTCAGGTTTTGGGGTTTCGGTGCTTGTGAAAGGCCATGCAGACACTTTATAGAATCGCTCAGGGCCTTCATGCTTAATGTGTTTGGCTTGGTTCAGGCCTGGCTTTCGGCAGCTTACCTACTAGGCCCAAACCCTAAACCTTAAACCCCAAACCCTAAACCCTCGAGATAATTTGTATTTTCCCTTGCTGGGTTTAAGAGGACCATGTTCAGGAATTCAGAGAGTTTTAAGGGTCATCCTAGCTTATGGTAAGATACATCGTGCCATACCTTACCCGCTCTACTTATAGTAGAGCTTGAGGAATTTGCTGAACCCTAAAGCCTAAACCTGATGTCCGCCTCCCTGGGGAATGGCCAATCTTCCGCGAGTACTAATTCGATGCAGTCTGGCATTTGGATGTTCCTTCTCGGATGCCAACAGGGCCCCTCTTCCCTTGACAGCAGGATTGGATGAACCTATAAGCCCAACGAGGTTTCGGTTTAGGGTTTAGGGCAGTTGTACATGTGTGTCCACCAAACGAGTATCGTAGCCAATGACATAAGACCTGTGTCCAACACGAAATATCAATCCAAGGATACAAAAGAACCAATAAACTCATACAGTCTCTTTTGACATATACCTCCCCTTTATTCTGTGGGACCACTAAAAGTATTCCGTACCTGAATCTCCAAAGAACTTGTTTTGCGAAGTGCGACTCGTGCCAATTTTCCGGGTTGTGTCCTATATACATCAGAGAAGCGTGTTGAAACGAAGATCCTTAAACTTGTTTTCAGACCATTACATGCTTTTAGCATCGGAATGATGAGATTTCAAGTGCAGTAACACATTCAAGTGCTGAACTCTTCCTCATGACGGGAGCGCGTTGAATTGGATGCTGTTCTTCTTTAATTTGATTTGATGTTTTTTCTCATGTTATGATGTGCAGAAGCACATTATGATGTGCGGCACTTTCTAGAGTTGCATTGTTGAATTGAAGTGCTGAATACTAGGATTGAGCTGTGCATCACGTCGAAGAACCAAAGCTGGGGCAGAGCTAGATTTTTTGTGTGCCCTTCCGGTCCCTATTTAAGTATACACAATGACCTCCCAAAACCCTATTCTAATTATCCAGGCCCCTCTAGGACATGCTTGCATGCCCTCGACCCAAAAGCCAAACCCTAAACCTAACCGAAACCCCATGCTGTGCATTATTTAATATATAATATCATACATAATGTATAGTATGTATAGTCTTCTAGTGTACTTTCTTCAATGTCTAACGAGATGGCGCTGCTAGGGACAGCGCCGGGCCCCATCGCCAAGAAGGGCTGGCGCACGGGCGCACGAAGCTAAAATGCCCAAGTCCCAAACACAGCGCATCTGAAGAATCCGACATGGGTTTAGGGTTTAAGGCTTTGGCGTTTAGGGTTTAGGGTTTAGGGATGCTCATACCACAAAGCAGCTGCATGACAGGAGAGTACGAGAAAGTTCTTTTGTAAGCCTCCAAGCTTCTTTACAGCAGGAGCTTCGTAAGACCCCCAGAAGGGACCCTTAATCTTATTCCCTTATATAACCCTATATACCTTCTGTAGTCCCTGCCTAATTAAGTAGTTCCCCAGAACCCCTAAATAACCCTTTAAGGTCCCCCTTTAGTCCGTTGAGGAACAGGGGCTCTGTAAGACGCCACCTGGGCTGAAAGTGCGCCAGGTGGAGTACACAGCGCGTGCGTGTGCGTGCGAGCCGGTCGTTCTGACGGTTTAGCTACTACTTGCCTAAGCACCCCCCCCCCCCCAAAAAAAAAAAAAAAAAAAGGAAAAATGTTCTGCCTTGTAAGGGCACTATTTGATTTTTTGGGGTTCTTCAGCAAACAGGAGATATTGGTCCAGAGGGGCCTTGTTTCGGACTGCGGGGTTACGATGGCCTAAGATGTGACAGATCTCAGCTTAACCCTATTAGGGGTCGTGGGTGTTAAGGATTGTTTGCCACCATGAGCTTCTTGACGAGCCTTACTTAGGGTTATTGGTAGTCCTCATGCATTCAGCTCAGAATATGGGTTCCCGTACTTGTAGCTTTGCAACTACAAATCCTAAGACCTAGATTGAAAGAAGTCTTCGTTTGGGCACCTGAGTGATGCTGCAGAGTCCGTGTCCCAAGCCCTAAGCTCTCACTCTCGCGCTTTCTCTCTCTCGCTCTCTCTCACACGCACGTGCTGCATCAAGCTTCCGATAGCTTCCCAATGCGCGCAGATGAAGTCTAGTTCTCGTTTTCGCACGGGAGTGTAAATATCTTTGTGAAGATGCATGCCCCGTATCGACGTGTTTAGATGACGGCCTCATGAACGCGATCCGAACTGCTGAAACAACCACTAGAATAACTACCTATCGGCATGGCCCTCATCTTGATGGACTGGATATGATCGAGCCCTGGCGTAGCTTCGCTGCGACCCAAGAATTGGTCCTTAGAATGGCACCCTCCTACACTCTTAGTAGTAGAGTAGGTAACCTTTAACCTTTTTGGGTTAATATATTCCCCTTATAATCCCAAAGGTTAACCTTTAAAACCCCTAGGTACTGGACAGCTAAGCACTTTACAGGGCTCGGTCCTTCGTGACTGGCGTTGGTCTTGTCAAGATTCCAGGCTGCGTCTACGCACTCACTGGAGTCTCCTCCTCAAATTGACATCTTTCTACGTTAGCGTCTGCAGAGTGGCTGCCAACTGCACCGGGAGCTGGGTCCCGAGATCTGCTAGGGCGTTGTAGGGTTTAGGGCTACCAGTTCTGCACACGCTGCAGCTCCAACCAAGTACTACATAATAGCGCAAGCCACTGCACATTCACAAGACTACCCAGACCCTGCCTAGTTACCCCCCCAAGGAAGTCGCATTCGGGTCTAGGTAACTCTGCAGGAATATAGGCTGCAATGACAGACTAGCAGTCTGGTACTTGAGTCAGAGGAGTAGACCCAGCATGACAACCTAAAGCCTAAACCCTAAACTCTAAATCCTAAACCCTAAACCCTCTCTTTTTTCAAGTCTCGTTAGCCCAGGTTGCCGGGTGAATGTCACCTTTTGCTTTGCGAGTTGGTTTGCTCGATCTGTTTCTTTAAAAACCACCAGGATGTGCATCGCGCGCTGCTCTCCGCAGGAGGGACGCGCTTGAAAAGAGCCGAGGTTGAGGGTTTAGGGTTTAGGGTTTAGGGTTTAGGGTTTCGGGTTTAGGGTTTAGGGTTGAGGGTTTAGGGTTCAGGGTTTAGGGTTGAGGGGGCTTCAACCCTCGGACCTAAACCCTCAAACCCCAAGAGCGAGGGTTCTCAGACCTCAATCCCCCGCACTTGCCGTGTCTGCGAGATCTTAACTAGGTTACTCCTTCGTCTAGTAACAGTAGCCGCAGCCCAAAAAACCGCTAAGCCCTGAACCCTAAACCCCAAACCCTAACCCTAAACCCGAAACCCTAAACCCCAAACCCTAAACCCTAAACGCAAAACCCTAAACCCTAAACCCTAAAGCCCTAAACCCTAAACCCTACTATGCCAAGGCTCTCAACCCGAAATTCCTAAGCTCCATAAATTTTAAGAATCTCGTGGACCCAAGAGGCCGCAAACCAGAAAGAGCCAACCATTGAGCTCCCAAACCCTAAACCCGAAACCCTAAACCCTAAACCCCCAACAGCCCTCGACCCCGGACCCTACTACCCAACCTGGCGATGTATTGAACTGCTTGCTCGAGATACCCGAAACCCTTAATCCTCAACCCTCAACCCTCAACCCTAGACCTGAACCCTAAACCCCTAA